TATATTTCTCTGGTTTAAAATCAACATTTGATCAGAAATCAACAGCGGCATTTAACACCCTGATAACATCGTTTGGGCAAGAAACCCTTCCACCTTGTTATTGTTGGAAAAAGATGGATTTGTTTATCCTATTCGTCTTATGTTTTCTTTAGTTGAAGTGTGTGAGTAAGTCTCAGGAAAACACACTGCAGTTAGATGACTGATAAATAAGATTGATTGGTATGTATAGACTTGATGGCATACCTAAAATGTGATGAATAGCATATGAAATATGAGGAAGAGCAGCAGCATGTCAATCAGCTATGATTGATGGGACATCAAAACAATTGTGGGAAATAGAAGGAACACTTGAAAGTGAAAAGTGAAGTGACAAGCAGCCAAGGTCAATATTATTAAAGTCTTAACAAACCTGCACACAGTAAACAATGTAGGATAAAGCAAAATCAAAACCCTACAATTCCTCAGCATATTGCCAAAATTATAGGAGGTTTGAAGAGAACTCAAATGCAGAGAAAGAGGAAGAGGTGCTTTGTTGGAGATTTAATGATGAGAGTGGTGGCAGCAAAAGCATAAATCCAGAAATAGAAAACCAGGGAGAACAGGTATCAGAACATGGGGAACACTGGGCTTCGGGGGGGAGTGAAGAGAATCCAGAAAAGATTAACAGAAGAGGAGAATATATGCCAAACAGAACAAGTAATGGAGTAATCAACTGACTGGGCGCAGGTGTGGACAGAAGTTATTAGATACTTTAACAGCTTACATGAAACTAAAGGGAAATTAAATTAATCAATAGAAAACACAGAATGACATAAATCAAAATGTAACTGAGAATCTAAAGTAAAAAGGTAAACACAACCAAAAATCCAGATCACCTGATCATGACACATATCACATTTCAAACAACGAATAAGGGCCTTAGGGCAGCCAGAGTATGCAATGTTTTATTGAAAAAGCATTCCACATTTAAATTTGTAATAATGAGAATATTTCACTGGTAAAACAGAAAAGCAGAATACTTGTCCTACAAGTTCTTTATTTACTGTCTTCATGTGGAAGTATTAGCCTGAAAATACAAAGGAAAAAATTGAAAACTAGAACTACTTTGTTACTAAAGTATGACTTGTTGAATTACTAAAGTAGTTCTGGCCTATTATTGAATATTATTTATGCATTCAGCAGGCATGTTGGAAAAGTGTAAAAGAGCTAAAAAATTTTAGGGGCCCATGATTGGGAGAGACCCAAAGAGGCTTTTAACACAATTGCAGTTCTGAAAAAAAAATATGACATTCAGTAATAAACTCACAAACACACTTCTATCTATAATAAAACGATAACACTAAGTTAATGTTTTATGGAAACATTTCTCAGTGCCACCCCCATTCTCTAAATATGAATATAAAATGGTTCAGTCCATCTGCTCAACTTTGGTCACACTTGAGTAAAGGTAAACAGTACTGCATGACACTCAGTTCTCTAAAAAGTAGGGTCTTTTAGTGGTTGATGTAATAGAAAATCCTGTTATAGTAACCTGTTTTTTATTCCCAACTTTGTCCATACATCATTTACACGCTAGCTCACTTGTATCCCCATATTAACCAACTATATATAAAAAAATAAAAATTAAATGATTTATGTAATTCAACTTTGCTGCAGTAAAGGTGAATTACATGAATTACAGGTTGAAAATCACTTCAACTATTAGGTTAAAACCTATATTTGTTGGATCAATAGGCTCCATGAGTCCCTATGTACGAATATGATGATGCATGTTAATGAGTTAAATTTGGATTTTCATGTCATTTAGTATGTATCTGCTAAAAAAAAACAATCAAGACACACAGTTCGATTTAGAAACTCATGGAGTGTGAAAAGCCCTACAGCCAAATATAAAAAGTCGTCTTACTATGAGGTATTCTAATTGTACATAAATTCTAAGAAAGCTCTGAGTAGAGTTTCTCTGAAGATCATAAAATATTTTCAGTTAAGGAGGAAATACCTCCCTTTTGTCATGCATTATAAAATCTATGAAGTCTATAAAGTATAAATTCTGAAACATTTAAATTAAATAAAATATGAAAAAGTAAAAGAATTTATTCCTATTGCATTTTGCATATTAGCTGAATGTTATCTGTACACAGACACAATGCCCTAATTTTTCACAGGATTTATGAATCAGACTCATTTTCTGTTTTTTTTTTTTTTTTTTGCATACCCTAGTTACTCAGTTCTCAGGTGAGAATAGACAAAATATGGAATCTGAATAATTAGATGACTGCTGTAATTTAGCTTTAATAATCACTAAGCGACCACTTACCTTTAAAGTCACATTGAACATCTGGGTGCACTTTAATGAAGAAACCTTGAGTGCTTTCATTAATTGTTACTATACCCCTAACACTAACACACAATGCACACTCTAACTCTAAACACCTGCTATAGAAATTCTCAAGGACCATACCCAATAGCATCATGTGCAGGCATTGTTTCTGGCCCAAAATAGGTTATGTAATGCTTCTTTCACTTTAAGTTGTCCACAAAATATTTATAGATGTTTAACTTTTGAAAAAAAAAAAAAAAAACTCGTTTTGGAATGTAGGTTTAAAATCAGGGAACATATTCCAATATGTTTTGCCTTTCCTTTTGTCACCTAATAGACCCATTTGCAAAATGTGAAAAAAGATGAAAAGGTTTCATTGTTTATTAGCTATGCTTTCACATTAACAGAAGTGTGTAAGAGTGTGTGTAGGTTTAAAAAAAAGATTGCAAAGACTTAAACCTAACCCACCTTTTGTGCTGTTGGAGAAACGGATGAAAACTGAGATTGGTTGTGACATATCAGTACCGCCCGTGTACAACATTAAACTAGACAGCAGATGCTTCAGAGCATGTTCCATCCCTTCCTGCAAAACTAAACCTGGGTGCTTTGGGTGCTGATGTTTACAGGCTATTTCTCCCACATTTTTTTGCCTCCTTCTGTCTTCTCTGGAGCTCATGTGGCACTTTTAAAAAATGCATACGGACTCTACGTGCCTTTGGAGACAAGTTGTACCACATCATTCCTTTCTGAATAGATAAATTTGGCTGCATAGTGGATCAATGTGGGCACATCTGCTTGATGAGTTGAAAAATGCTGTTCCCAAGTAATGCAATAGCAAACGAAAAAAGTACAGATATGGCACAGTTGTCGATGTCCACAAGAGAGTGCATCAGTTTATCTATGCATTTTTGCAAGACCTGGGCTACCTAAATACATTACTTGTATAAACAAATGCCGGTAAAAATGTTGTAATACCAGATATCCTTCAGTGTCAGTAAATTTAAACAACTAATGATTTGCAAGTTTTAAACACATTTGAGCTGAAACACTCATTTTAAACTGTAGCTGTTACAGCAACATAAGACAATTAGCATTTTTCAGCAGCTGCACAGTGATTCTAATTCTCCTAGCATGTTAAAACAGCCCCATTATTATTATTATCTTTAGTGGTTATTACAGCTCCATTGCACTGATTTTGCTATAAAAAAATCTTCTTTAGTATTCAACTAGGAAAGGTTATAGAAATGAAATTCTGATTGCTATCTTACTCTTTAAATCACCTGCATCTAACACGACCCTACAGATTGTCTGTAAAAGTCTTCCAATGCCACTTGACCCACGAAAGTGTTAAACGCGAAATCTCCCTTAACATGTATAACAGTTATGATTGGTTCAGTATACCTGGCTCAGCATTATGCTGTTTTTTTCTTAAATATATCTAATAAATTAAATGCAGTGTAGTTGATTTTCACTAACTTTGGCTTTCTGACCTTTGGGGGTCCTCAGGGTCCTTTAGGCTTTTAACCATTAAAGCATTTTCCTCCATTTAGTTAGCATTTTTCAAAATGTTGCACTTTACTTCTGAATGAATCATTGTCCTGAAAACAGATAATAACCTACAGAAATCTTTTCATCTTATATAAAGTACATACTCATCCAGGATTGTACGGTTGGAGCATGTTTAAAGGCGAAAAGGAAGGGAACAGACGGTGGCAGCTGATCATAAAAATATGTTCTTGTGCTTTGAAAGTCATCTATACAGCCCAATACCATGGCTTCCTTTGAACATCTTTGTATGCTGTGTTGTAACCACTAACTCTCTCTGTGTTATCAGACTGAAATGGTAATAGGACTAAGGTCAGGAAATGTAACCGTAACTGGGTTAAATTTAAGCCTGAGTCATTATTTCTATTCAATAGTCAAATATAGTAATTGTAATGTGTGTATTATTCTCAGCTTGGACTTTACTATGCATAGAAAATCGTATTAAAATTTTCTTAATACAGGGAACAATTCAAAATTTCAGAAGAATGAATGACATACAGTACAGTCAGTAAAGACACTGCTAAGTGTTCTTTGATTAAAAGTTATTTACCTTGTTTTGGAAAATAATTTAATCATTCAAGGCGGAATTAAATCTTTAAACAAAGAAAGGTGGATATCTATTTCATTTTATTTTTATAGTGTCAGTTCACAACAAATGTATCTCGGGACTCATAAGAAAAAAAAAAGTTGATTTAGTGAAATTGTAGCAATAGATTTCAAGTCAAGGATGCTAGAGAAATATCAAATTGATTTTAGTCATTAGACACTGCAGTTAAGGTCAGACAGTTGTTCAAATTGACTTGCAGGATTCTCACCATCTGTGAGGCCACAATGGACTGTTTGTTGTATTGTGTGATTGTCTTTACAGCAATTCCTCATACCAAACAATAATGTGGTGACAGAGGAAAAATTAATCACCCACTATAACCAACTTAGGAGTTGAGAAGAGAAACACAGAAGCACTGATTCAAGATATATTGTTTTAGGGAAAATGTACATGGTGATAGTAGCTCCTTCACTGGTTAGATAGTATGAAGGAATCTTAATTTAGCAAGGCCAAAGCCTATGTATGACACAACACTAATAGGTGCTCAGCAATTTTATTAAAATGGGTTCTACCTATAAAAGCAAATTCATTCATGCATTCCATAAGATGACATTATATTTCATGAACACATAGAGCTGCAGGAACCTAAGGGAAAGAAGTTGAAGGAAGAGAAGCAGGATAGACTCTTCAGGTTCAAAGTGATGCTTCCCTACAAAATATTAAAATAATAAGTTTTGAAATTTGAATTAATTCCTGTAGTAAATAGCCTTTCCTGTTTGCTCCAATGGCAACAAACAAACAAGTGACATGGGCATCATTCAGAGCTCCAAATAAGCACATCTTCAGTTTCCATGGCAGTAACAAACCTGTGAGTGTTTTTTTTTTCCAACTATGTTCTGTTGATAATCTATCCAGTTTTATTGACAAATACAACTTTAACTAATTTTTTTTTTTTTTTCTTTTTTTTTTGATTGCAGTGCTGTAACATCCAGTTAACAATACTATAGCTTGTTTACTGGCCTAAAAAAAGTAGTCTCTCTTGTGTCTCTAAGCTATTCATTCAGCTCCTGCCAGACTAACACAATTTCAAAAGTGTAGTGAAATCACTCCAATTTTATATTATTTATCCTATCTCCAAATAGAATTTAGAATCCAATTTCCCTTCAGAGTTAATGGACATGCTTCCAAATGTATACCCTGCCTTCAAATTGAAGCCACTGCTGAGCATAGTCTTTACTGCAGGTTTGGAATGTGTTATTTAACAAAATAGAAAAATTGGGGGGGCAAAGCCTTTTAGTTTGCAGCACTGAAGTATTACAACCTTGTTTAGCTGAGACTAGAGACACTGCTAAACATTATTAACAACTATTTTTTTTAGACTCTTTTCGGATTCTTTTACTGATGCAACTTTTTCTCATTGTGTTTGATGTAACTTATCAACCTTTTTTGTTTAATTTCCAAAAGAAGGAATTACATAAGACAGTTGAATCCTGTACATGTCGGGAATGCTGTCAATTCTGGTGTTGTTAGAGGAGCCAATGCTTTAATCCAGATTGTCATAGAAGAAACTTCAGTTAAATAACAGAAGGACAGAAAGATAAACTAACAATGTCACTACCCTTTATGATGGAATTTTAGTTATCTTTAGATATTGATTGCAGTAAATTATCTTTGGACAGTTGCAAGAGCATTGAACCTCAAGAAATACTTAGCTAAAGCCTAAGACTGAATTTAAAACCTTTTACAGAAAATATGTTGCCTTTTTAGATTCTTAAGGAAAACCTTTTATTCAATAAAAGAAGCGTAGCTCATTATAGATAATTTTTGGAATCTTGATCAAAATAGAAACATTTTTCTTCACTCATTAACTATGCTCAGTGTATTAAAGCACATTGTAAAAAAAATACAGCTAGCTAAGAAATATCAAAACCATGTGTAATTAAAAAATATAGCTACATAATCAAACTAAATGAAACAAACTCAAAACAAACTCAACAGAAAGAAACCCACCTGAGTGGTTACTAGATAAATGATTAAAACTGTAAATATTTCCAAACAATATTTAATGAAGATCTATTTGTAAATAAACTTGTACTTTTTGTTTTATGCCTGATGAAGAGTTTGGAGATCCTGACACTTTAAAGGGAATCAGCTACTTACCTCCTGCTGAATTTCCTACCGAGGTAAATCCTGATGTAGCAAATGCATGAAAAGGTAGAGAAAAACAGCAGGTATTTTCTGTCATAGTGAAAGAAAATAACACCTAGAGAAAAGAAGACTTTAGAAAAGTGCTGAAAGTGTGGTGCTCCATTTGCTGCATGTAGATTAAACTCCTGTGATGCCTGGTATATTAAACCATATTTTAAAGTTCATATGCAAATTTTGTTTCAATGTTAGACCTTTTTCCTTACACAACTACCAACGCTTTCCAACAGAAAAGTCCAGGGGCAAAACGTTATTATTTTTATGACAACTGTTCCTAATTAAAAAACCAATGCTCAATAAAATATGCTGAATTATTAACTGCCTTTGTTATTTTCTTTTTATTCTCTAGCATTAAGTAGCAATAGCACTGAAAGGGAATTCACAGGATAAACTGACAGTTGACCTTTACATTACTTGGGTATATTAGAGCCCAGGCCCTGTAGCCCTGGCTTGCCTCCTATTGAGCAAGAGAATAGCATGTTAAACATGTTATCCCAGGGATAACCTTTCCAAACCAAGGGTGAGATCGCATCAATCATACTGAGTTAAGTCACTGTCTTTCTCCTGGGAGCTGACAGCACCACAATAAGGTGGTGCTATTCTGTGTTAACAGGTTTCACTTATCAGCACAATACTAACACAGAACATAAATATTGTGTTTGTCCCATTGGAGACACAGAAGCGATTTCTCTTTTTTAACAAGCACCACTTTATGTCCAGTCTAACAATCTCATATAAAGGTTGAGCAGCAGTTACAGTACCAATGATCCAATGGGCTTATGTTTTTAAGCAAAAGTGCAGTGTGCAGTGGTGCATACCATCCTTATATATATATTTCCACTGGAACATTTTCCAAGGATTAACAGCCAAGATGATTTCAGAAAAAAAAAGAAAACAAGGTAGAAATTTAGCATCTTTGCTCCTTTCACTTTGGAACAAACTCCCTGAAAACCTCACATGTGCAGAAAATATTAACAACAGCGTTTTTGTGTATTGCAGCCTTTGTGGCTCATTAGCTGTTGTTTTGTAATCAATGCTGGGTGATTAATTAAACCAGAATATTAGTTTACTCATGCAATGCTTCTTTGCTATTTTAATATTGCCACATTTTCAGAAAGCACTTTGAATCGCCTGTGTAATAAATTTTGCTACTGAGTAAAAATAAACTTAACATACCATGAAATCCTGTAATACTATAAAGTATTATATTCTTCAACCTAAGGTTGACACCAATGTAGAAAAATGATATCAAATTAATTACCTTTGCTACAGTGATATAAAAGGATGCTTTGATTATACCAATTAGATTAAATGATGAGCGGAGAATCGAAAAATAACAATCATACTGAGGCTGTATAGTCTAATGAAGTTTGGTTTATTATTAAGAGTTATGCTATAGTTTATGAAATCAACATCATGGATCAAAAGGTGCACAGTTTTACTTTAATAATTCAACACATTGTAATTAGAATACATTTTAGAGATGAAGCTGAACCCTGTTTCTTTGCATGGGCACGATGGGATATGCTACAAATTTTCAGACTCATTTTACCTGCCTCTACCATCATCTGGATTAAATCCAAAGCTGGACTGTTGCCCCTCAGGAGATGCAATACATTTAGAACTATCAAATGAGATGTGTCGCATCACATAAGTGTGCATAAACACTTTGCACACAGCTGTAGTTCCCAATAGAGAGTTTTTCAGCCTTTTCCTGATTAAGATATTGTTCTATATGGGCTCAGCTGCATTGAAGCTCCTTATTTCTGATCTTATATCTTCAGTGCTGGTGTTAGAATATTTCTTTTGTCCATCGTTTGCTTTTCTGTTATTTTGGCTTAGTGTTGTTGTACCCTAGCTTAAATATACCTTCCCTGCTTGTTATTCAGTATTGCCAGCTATTGGGCTTCAAGTGGTGTGCTGAGAGCTCTGTAGTATTGTTTACAAGAGTAGGAGGAAACATTAAGCTATCTCTAAGTGGGGTTACCTTCTGAAATTTCATTTTTTGTTAAATTGCACGCTCATGCTTATACTACTGGCCATTTTTGGAAGCACTTTTGAGAACACTTTGAGAGCAACTGCATTTTACAGAAAGATTTTGTCACACATACTAATTTGGGTACACTGTGAGAATATTTATGGATGATGTTGACTACATCATTAAATAAAGAGAGGATCATGGGTGCTCTAATTGCCTGAAGAGGCTCGTCTTTTGGTTGAGACAAAAAAGATGCAGTGGAAGTTTTGTGCGTGAGTAAAAAAAAAAAAAGTTGTTTGAAGAACAGTCTTTGTGTTTTCAGGAGAATGCATTTGTCTTGATGGCTACATGAAGGATCCAGTCCACAAACATCTTTGCATCCGCAGTGAGTGGGGGCCTAACCAGGGGTAAGTTATGATAATTGATTCATGATGATTTGTGATTGTTCATTACAGTGTTAGGGGGATACTTTGGGGCAACAATGGAGTCCTCCTCCTCATTAAATAAAAGGTAGTGTGACGTTACAATTGGCATGTAATATTTGGAGAGGGCTAGCCTGATAAACCGGACTAAATGTGAGATTAAATGTGTAATTTAGTCTGGCCTTGATGAATAAGACATTGGAAGATTGTTAAAGAGAACAACCCGTTGTTTTTCTAACCATGTCTTTGCCTATTGGCCAACGCTCTGACCAATGAGCGCAACTGACTGTGACATAGTAAGCGCAAGAAGCTGGTGGGGGAGTGTAAACAAACAGCCTGTCGGTAAAACGGCAAATATGTCCTTCTTAAAAATGAATGAGCATAGAGCCTCTTCCTGCTCACGTTTCAACGAAAACCCAAGGTCTAGTCTTAAAAAACTGATTCCAAAGCTGCGTCAAACTAGAACTGTTCAATAGTTGTTGCCATCTTCCATGTTGTGCTTTCTCCAGCGTTGCGCAGCTTTGTCGTCATGCCCTCAAAACCCCGTCTGCTTTGCATCCAGAAATTCAAAACACATCTCTGCGTTATGATTGGCCAGCCAGTTCTAGGGCCTGGGTCATTGTTTGAGGCTAGACCACTCGCAGGCAAAAATAATTTTGGCCGCTGGCAGGTGGGGATAGTTTATTAGGCTAGGAAAGGGCAGCAGAAGTATATTCATCAGGGGTTTATACAGTTATCAATGCCACAGTTTTACATTATAACTTAGAATGCAAGCTCATTAACTGAATGCATATAAAATTATTTGTAAAAGATATCTTTAAACTAAAAGATATCTTTAAATAAAAACCATTATGATTCTGCTTGTAAAATGGTAGAAAATCCTAGTCAGATATGTGCCTTGATTTTAAAGATTCCCATGAGGTTGGAGGCTATGGGAGGGAATTTGAACTTTTGACTATGTGTCTCAGCGTATATGATAATTATGTTCAGTTTGACCTCTTTTTAGGTAAGTAATTGAATGAAGCAGTGAGAAGCTGCACCATATCACTGTTGAAAAGTACTGATATTATATCTGGTTCTGTCTACATTTCTTTAGTAATTGCCAACGCAATTATTAATTGCTTTAATTAATTTAGCTGAACGAAAAACCTTAATGTTCACAAACTGAAGACTTTATTGATATTTCCCCATTTTCTTTGTTGTGGATCACTTTTTAAAGATGCTCAAAAGAAAATAGAATTTCAGAGCTTTTGCATAAATCTTCATGCCCTTACTATTCTAGTGCTGCATGACTGCAATTTTAACAGCTTCTACTCATCGTGAGCTTTTTTTCCTTTAATACTTAAACCTAAGATGTGTTCCTCTTTGTTGTCCATTTTTTGCAAAACTTTCCTTCTTTAATTTTCTTTTTTACCTCACTTGTGGTAGGAGACTGCATGAGCTCAGGAGTTCAGGTTTTAGTTGCCCCTAGCTTAGCAATGTCACAGGACTTTACTGTAATCGTTATTTAGAAAAGTCCTTATTTCTACTCGCATTCAGGGATCAGGGCTAGCTGCAACCCTCTCTTCCCTTTTATGTAACAGCAAACTCACTTTAACTGTATTACTGCCACCTAAAGGGCTGGTGTGCGAAATATAATATGATTATAACTGAGTGCCTCTGAGATTTAAATCTTCTATTTAAAATTGCAAAGACAGTGCAGATGCATTTAATTGCCCAGTCTTATTCTACAGTTTTTATTTAATCCAGGCCAAGAGAAACAAGGAGAGAGAGGTAAGATGAGTGGATGGAGTTTGGCTCTGTTTTTGAGTGGTAGAAGATCAAACTCTGAGTTTTTTTCCTTTCACAGAGACGCTTTGCAGTAAGGAAGTTCATGTACTACCTGTTAGCCCCGAAGCCTATTATGTACTGTGGGAATTTAAACACGTTATCGCAATTATAGTGTATTTTACCCCATCTGTTAATCCTGTAGCACTCTGCAATTTTATCACCACTCTACCCAGCAGACCCCAAACGTATCATCCCCATCTCCTTTTTCTGACCTACAGGGATTTTAATCATGTGTTCCTGTTCCCCACTCTTCCCATCTTCACCTATTACTGTATGTTACCTGCCACACCAGAGACAACACGAAACCTGAACTTATTATATTACAACACCAAAAACCTATAGCTCATCTCTCTCTCCTGTGGGGGGGCTCAAATTACAACCATCTCCAGTCTGTGTATTATCCCCTGTAGTCAGCAGACCAGCTGTGAGTTGCAAAGTTAAGATATATAGAGAAACTCTAATGGACTTTTTTTTTTTTAGCTCTACTCTGTGGGAAGAGTTCTCTGCTCTTCACGGGGAGGACATGGAAAGCACCACTGACTGTATCATGAACTACTTACTTTCTGTGTGGACAACACTGACATGGACACATAAAAGGATAGATATGTGGATGGCATCAGCTACAGGCTTCTGAGGTTCCTGTCCAGATTAACTGCTTGCTGGAGTCACACGACTGATACTCTATATAGCAAGGGTCCGACTGTAACAGAGCTCTTTTAGAGTATAGGAGAACTCCGGAAAACATTTTTGGCTCTGTGGTGGAATCAACGTTTTTTTTTATGGCGTAGTATCTTTGGAACAGCAGCTTATCTACAGCTTAGAGGATGTTGTCACGAAAGCTAATATGAAGGCCATCTCTGTCATAGGATGCACCTTCGACCCACTGCAGGAAGGGTTAGACAGAAGAATTCTGGCCAAAATAACATCAGTTTAGGACAATGCCTCTCTGAGCCAATCATTAAAAGAGCTCATTTGGTAAAAAAACCTCAAGACAAACATTGTCACAGAGTATTTTTCATAGTAGCTGTTAAACTTCTACCCAGTCCTGCTTTCAGACGCTTTAAGTGCTTACATCCTGCTGTAGTTTGCACAGTTTTTCATTTTTTTTCTGTATAGTTTCTTTATGCATAAACATACATGCATATTTATATATTTTCTGTAATGATCCTCTTCAGTTGCAGATTCATTTGAATCTAGTGTGTTCTTTTGATAGTTGTTCAGTATCCTTTTGTGTTTTAAATTTTCCCTAACTGTAAAGTCTCTTGTTTTTAATTTCTGTTTCTATCATTTTATCTTTGTGTGAACCTGCATCCTTCCATTTGCCTTTCACCTTGTTTCTGTTACACCTTAAGTTTCCCACTGAGGGACAATAAAGGGTATTTCTATTTTATCCTGTGCCCTTCCTTAGGTTAATACCAATTAAGTATCACTCTCTTCTACATGACATGGTCACAGACAAGATTTGAAAATGAGGCCGATAATGGTAGGAAATGGGCCGAGAAATAGGCTCTAGATGTGTTTGCCTATATTTTACATATTTGTTTATGTTAATTAGGGACATAAAAGTCTGATCAAAATCAGTTTTATATTTTTTTACAAATTTTTATAGATTCTACTGCAAAACCAACTAAGATCTATAATGGAGACCTACTAAGAAGTATTAGAATTTATATTTTTGACCATATATTCCACAATTGAAGACCCTCTCTTTACAATTATTTTGAGTTTTTCTAATCAGGATCCTACATACTTGGAACAGCGTCCTCTAAGATACCTATCTACAATTCGATACATTTGCCTGTTAATAATTTAACTATTTGAGATCCTCACAGATTTAGTTTATATCATGCCTGCCATATTTTAAATGTAACAATTATCTCCAAATTCTTACATTAAAAAAAAACAAAAACAAAACAATAAGGTCATATTGCAACAGATATAACATACTCCATCCTTATCCTGTAGAAAGCTTTAATTTCAGTACCAATATGCTGCCAAAGCTGGTCTTAAAAGTTTCTGATTAGAGACACTTACTTTATCTGAGAATCTCTCTTGCACTTGATGGGGTATACAGTAGAGACTGACATTTTTTCGGGAATCCCACGGGTCACGGGATTTCCGTGGATTCCCGTGGGATGGGAGTCAGTATTAGTAACGATCACGTGATTGGGACGGTACAGGATTAAACATTAACGGGAGCAGACAGGAGCGGGAGCAAACCAATAGTAACTAAAAAAAACTAGGATTGATGCCAAAAAATAAAATAAATTGGAAAGAAAAAGATTTTTGCAGCCATTTTGTAGTTTTTTTCCTTGAAGCCTACACTATAATGCGAGTCAAAAAAACTACACAACCCAAAAACCAACTGTGCTTCCGCTCTGAGTTTTTCACCCGCGCTCAAAAGAAATTCAGATTCAATGTATTGGCAGAAATCTTATTGAAGACAACAAGAATGGGAGTGATGCAGGAGTGGGAGTCATTCTGAATGGGAGCGGGATGGGAGTGGGAGTAATTTCACCAGGAGTGGGACGGGACAGGATTTAGATTTCTACTCTGTGACGGGACACAATTTTTTCCGGTGGGAGTGGGACGGGACGGGAGTGAAAATCCTCTCCCGTGTCAGGCTCTAGTATACAGTACCAGTGATCATGTCCTTCATGTTTAGTAAATTTGATCGCAATAACTGGCTCGATTTGAACTTTTAGACACACATGGCAACATTAGAGACAATGAAAAAACAAATGAATTACTTTGTCACTACCATTGTTCAGGACTCAGATGCCTAACAGACTCTTCAAACCTTTTTACACTTACAATACATCCAGGAAACATCCCAAACAAGGCTGATGATATAAAAGGATTTTTTTTTTTTTTTTTTGCAAATCGAAACCTAAAACATTTTAAGTTTTTATTTTTTATTTACCATTTGTTGAAACATTATATATGAGAAGAAAGAAAAAATTCAATACACTGTACTTTTCTGAACCGTTTTCAGAAAACCTGCAGGGACCTACAATGACTTGTAAAATAAAATCACATGCAGCTGTAAACTCCACAGGACAGCTTTTAAGAAATTTAATAGACTAACTAAATATCCCATTTGGCTTGCTTTCTTTTTTTGTATTGTGGATTCCCATTGCATTCTAGAGTCACTTAAAACCACTTAGCAAGAACAAATGTGGCAATGGAAAGAATAGCTAGAGCTGATTACCTACAAAGCAATGGCCTCCAGCGGGCAGGCTGGGCATTTTCCTTTATTTTCTGACTATATTCACGCCATGGTTTGTTTTTTTTGGGAAAATTTCCCTTAGCTCACCCAACTGTGCATTTCTGCTTCTCATTCCCCTGGTCTTATTCCTATGTCCCTGTCACTATTTAACAGAGTGGGCACCCATGGGTGACTTAAATGTTTAATGATTGTAGCCCATGGCATTGGAGCCGCTTCCCGTTCTTACTGATGTTCCTTTTGCTTACAGTGGTGAAGGAGTTTACTCCGAACGGCATCAGGCCTCTGTCACTTCCCTTTCTTGTGCTTTCACTTTGCAGACTGTTTAGTCCCAAAGCTGCCACTCCCCATTAATCTCTATCATTCTCCCTCTCTCACTTCTGCCTCTTGGCATCTGTCTCATTCTCGCAATGTTTTTCTCACTCTCACCGCTTGTCCTTTTTTTTTTTTTCCCCAGCTTTAGCTCCTTCCATCTACATCTATATCTCCCTCCTTTTCTGTGCAACTTCCTTGTTCTGCTTCATGCTGTCATCATACTTTATCCACTCCCGTGGTAAATAGATATGAGCCAAAGTCACATTTTATGTCAGGTGCTCCAAAATACAGTTTCAGCCTGCTTATTTATTTATGCATAGCACAGTGTAAAGCTTGTGAACTGGGAAACTTTGGAAGACAGGGATGTTGCCAAGGTAGATGTTGAAACTTGGCTTGAGAATTTGAAAAGTTTGGATTAGGAGGACGGGTATTCTAAAAAATTCAGTACTTCTCCAGCTTTGATTCTAATAATCAGTTTTACTCTCTCCTGTCTTTGTTGTCTTTTTCTCTGATCTATTTTTTCCTCCTTCAAGTCCCTGGCCTTACACCATCTTCCAGCGGGGTTTTGATCTTGTGATGGGAGAACAACCCTCTGATCGCATTTTCAGGTAAGAAGAACTTCATAAAACTTACTTCTATCTGGCAACTTCATACATTCGACTCTGATGCCATCCGATAATTTGTTCTGGAACACATCTATGACTGCTATTCTATTTGTGACTTAAGGTGATTAAGAGCCAGCAAATGAATGCACTCTGTGAATAGGAATAACCAAATCTAATTAGAATGGGAAACCAAAGTAAAGGATTTACTTCTTAAAACTTTTCTTTTTCCTCTCCATGATTGTTTTGTTATTTTTCAATCACAAAAAAAAATATTTTGACCATTTTAAATTTCACCTTTTAAATCTGATCATGTTCTGTTGTTTATATCTAGAAATAATTTGAAGGGACATTTTAGATTGTTTTCAAGTAAGTTCTTAGTAAACTTTGCAGATAAAAAAAAAAAGACAAATTGTGTTTGGAACATTCAATAAGGTTTGACTGTCAAAATTTACTCAAAATGCCTTTGTATACTTTTCCAAATGGGCTCTAAAGAATAAATAATTAGGGATTAGGGTGGACGTTGGGACAAACTAAACTTATATGAGCTATGAGAACAGAAACTTAAAAACAGACCATGTATGAGGAGAAATGGGGTTGTGCACGCTCTCGCACACGTTTAATATGTGTTGTCTCTCTCAGGAGAAGGTACAGGGTTGTGCATGTGCATTTTTTTTTTAAGTGGAGAGAACAGGTCTTTTTAAAAAAATTGCAAAAATCCTCCACAATACATTCAAGGTAAAGTAACCTATGCTGCCACAATGTATTTGGAAAAAGATAGTTGGACCATTATGATTATTTACTATAGGAAGTTTCTTTTTTTTTTTTTTATAATTCAGATCTTTTGTGATAAATCAAAAAAAAAAGAAAGGCCCCATCATACCAGTTTTGCACATTATGTAACAGGGCTAAACACATATTTGGAGTATTTTTAACATATGACCTATTTATTACAGTAACACCACATCAGAGCATGTTGGCTGTCACCTTTGCCCATCAGATTATTGGTTAGCTTTTGTCCTTCCTGTTGGACGTCATCGACTAAGATTTTGCTCCCAGACTTTAGCTATCTTTAAGGACTATTTTTATCCTTCTGGAAGACCGATTCAACCTTTTGCCTCCTGGGAGGAGCCATTGCGTAATTAACTAAGGGATATTGCACCACAATTACAGCTTTTTTCTTCAAGCTTTGGGGGACTTTAAACTAGGGTGACCATATTTTCATTTTGAAAAACCAGGACACCTTGGAGCGGGGGGGTGGCGGCGGGGGATCTCTGTTCCCATGCATAGGCCTAGGTAATCCTACAATAACATGATATTAACAGTTGATTTATTAAAAATGCTTTTCAGTAAAAGTCAACAGCAATAAGTCCAATAACAAATGATAATTTTATTCAAAATGTATTTATTAAAAATGCTTAACAATTCCTGTAATGAATGAATAGCACAATGAAAGAAATAATGTCTCATCTAAACATCCCTCACTTAACAATAAAAGTTAACAATAACTCTCAACTCCCAATAACAGATGATACTCAGCCTCAGCAATGAACGAAATAATGTCTGTTCTGTAGGATATTGGAAAAAATTCATTAACAAATGAGCTAAATAACAAAAAATACCTCTTGTGTAGCAAAAATAACTCAAAATGTACCAAAAACAAACAAACATATCAATAGACTATCTTTACTTTCGGAGTCCAGGTGGCTTTTCAGATCCCTTGCACCTCCATTGGACACAGAGACATATGTCCCTGCTTTGCACACTGTGCACAAGGCCTCCCATTTGTCTCGATCCGGTCTGAAAGCGGGGAAACTCTTTAGTAAATCGTTGGTAAACATACATTTGTGCCTTTGCATGTTGTTGGCGTACTGACAGCCATGCAATCTATATTCTGATTAAGAACTAGGCTGCCCGCAGTGACGCAGCTCAGGGGTGGAGTCACACGCAGCGTCGTGCGCAGTGCCCTAGCACCTGTAAATTTAACGGTCCAATGAAGGTAATTTAAAAAAACAGGACATTTCCTCACTTTCTAAAAAAAACCCGGGACGCCCAGGACAGGACGTGAAATACAAACATGTCCTGGGAAATACGGACGTTTGGTCACCCTACTTTAAACACAAAGTTTCAATTATAACTGCAACATGCTCCTTTTGGCTCTTAGATTTGTTAGGGTTTTACTACTTGTTTTTAATTTTATTTTTATGTGGCCTTCTTGTTGTATTTGATTGAGTAGCTATTGTTCTTGTTTTTGGGCATGTCACAACATCTTTCATCTCTTTTCCCATGTGGTTTTCCATGCTGAAAATAGCAAATAAACTGAATCTGAACATGCTTGTTGCTTTGCAACAACTATAGCCTTTGTAGTAGGCCATTTACTAAAAATCACCTATTGCCCAGTGATTACTGGACAAGAGAGACTGTACACACTGGACAGGTCACCAATCTGGAGAAAATACCAAAAAATATAAAAAAGATAGGAGGAATTACAAACTTTGGGGAAAAAAAACAGCTATTGTTTATTATTTTTTGCACTTGTAATGTTTATTTTAAAGGCACACTATGCAACATTTTTCAGTTAATTAATGTGTTCCATAACGTTATGGATGATTAAATGAGTCATTTCAGGTTGAACAAAGGTATTCTCGGCCGCCCTGGTGGTCTGTGGGGGAAATACTGCACTTGCAATTGCAGGAGCACCGACCCGCACCCACAGGCTCAGAAGTCTCGTGAGAGTCAGTCTTGCTTTACGGCGAGAACTGCTACACCCCCCAGTTAAAAGCATTCTCGTTGCTAGCACAGTGGTAATCTCTGTGCAGTTATGCTACGTTCACGCAGCAAAAGCAGCAAAATCGCGTCTGCTGCTTCCTTTTTGCTGCTTGTACCAGTTAGTTCTGACCCGTGGCTGAAGCAGCTTTGCTGCTCTGGCTGCAAAAGTTTGTCTGAGGCGCGTTGGGCGGAGCTTCACTATCCTTTCTCTGCCTTGCAGCTATATTTGCTGTGATCAGTGGGAATAAAGTAGTTTTAATATGTGTTTAAGTGAGAAAATACACCTGAAAACGTAATCAGTGCAGTCAGTTCATTCAGATTATTATCCTGCCTTCAATATTTTTTCTGTCGGAGCCGCTCAGACCCCCACATACCAGGGATGCGCCGACAGTATGGATCCCTTCATCAGCAGCGGTTCACCGCGGCAGCTGGTAGGTGTTTTTCATCTAAATAATCCAAACTGCTTATTCTGCCGGCAGATTTCTGCATTTTAAGTTAATTTAGGCGTCAATAAACTGTTTAAGAGGAGTGATCATCAGCGCTGTGTCTCTCTCCCTGCGTTAAACGCACCGACGCGCTGCTTCAGCTGCTCAGATGTGCAGCAGGCGCAGCACGTCTGAGCAGCAGGCGCAGCACCGCGCCGCGGGACCTTTTGCTGCGCCTTGATGCGCGTCAACCATTGACTTTGCATGTAAACTCGCTGCTTCTGTCGCGCCAGCTACGTCCAGTGTGAACGCAGCGTTAGTCATTCATTGCTAAGCTCAAAACAACCGCGCCTGGCTTGACGGAGAAACCAGGAGAACAGCTGAGCATATTTACGACAGTGCACTTTTACTTTCGCCCTCTGGGGGGAGCCTCGCTGGAAAATCAACACCGGTTGCATAGTGTACCTTTAAATAGATATTTAGTTTTGCTGTCTTGGAAAAGTGTAGCTTCGCAGTAACTATGCTACTGTATTTAACGCATAATTCATTTATGTCAGAAAAGGAATAAACACAACAGCACCCTCTTCTTTCTTTTTCACACTGCTTGTAGATGAAGAGAGGGCTACCTCTTCCTGCTCATTAAGACCACTCCTACTGTTGAAGATGGAAGAGGAAGGCCTAAAGCCTAATAAAAATAATCCTTCCCTGTTGGTATATCCTCCAGAGTAGGCCCTTTATAGAAAGCCAAAGGTTTTAAAATGTTGTCCTCAGCGTGTTCTCAACTAGCTGTTCTTCCTGATTAAACAATATTATTCTAGCCTATTTATCAAACAATCCAGCACTCTACCTTTACCTGAATCCCGCTTTTGATGAGCTATGCATCCATAATTTTGTTTGCTTAAGCAGATATTATCATTAAACAAGATTATTATTACTGGGTGTAAAATTAAGCAGAACAAACAGTGAGGATAAATGCTGAGAGTAAGCATTCAAACACACAACACTTGCCCTCCACTCACTAATAACTACATGGATTGCCTCTAAGGATTCCAAACCTGTTTTCCTCCCAACAACCATTTTCTCATGAGAACTCTTACTGTTTTTTCACCTCCAGTTCCTGTTAGAGGGAAGAAAATAAGTTGTATAGCAACTCATAAGTCCCAGGTTGTACATTATAAAACAGGGCTCGTTAAGTGCCAGCTAACTTATCCTGTGGTCACCCTTTTACGTCATTCTGCATCACAGGGAATCTCAGCACTACAGAACAAAGCCCCATAGGAGCAGGTTAAATGGGATGCAGCAAATGCTCTCCGTTTAATAGTACAGAAATAACAAACTCCTGCTATTAAATCTTATTTAAAATGAAAAATTGCTTAACATTCCATTTAAAAAAACTTTAAACCAAGATCCTGCTGTAAGTGCTGCACAAAATCCAGATATCACTCCCTTTTTCATATTTTTGAACCTTACAGTATATTTTATTACATGCAACATGACCAGCCAGAAATATGGATGTGGTTAGTCTACATGAAAATTAACTATTGTTAATTATGTGGAGTATTTCATTTAATTCCCAGTGGATTTAAAGATCAATGATATCCATTGTCAGACAAATAAAATGCTTTAAAGCATTTGTTCAGTTATAGATTTATTATTGTTTGTTGTCTCAGGGGGAACCGTCAGTGGCCATTTTACTGCATTAAGTTTTCAGTTTTCTAAGTCTATATTGACAAAATCATAAATTTTGTAAGTTAATAAACTGACTTCTCTAATTTTAAGTATTACCTTAAAGGACTATAGACATTTCTCAATGTTGAGGGATTTAGGTGCTTTAGGATTTTTTTCTTTTTTTTTTTTTAGTAAGAACATAATCTATTAAGTTTTTCTTGTGTTTTCTTTTTATGTTTTTCTTTTATCTTTTTATGTATTATCCAATGCCTTACATCGCACCCTAAATGCATTTCTGTCAGCATAGATCTGTCCTATTCTTCATCAGTATTCTCTGCAGTCTTTGTGATATTTTGAGTTGTTGGTGTTTAAAAAGGATCCCAATATTTTTTGTCTGAGTTAAAGATTTCACAAGACAATAGTGGCTTCAAACAAACTATATAAACTCATGTTGCCTCTAACATGAGTAAGTAACCTTCCTTTTTACTTCACCTTGTTGTCATTCTACCCACTTTTGAAAAATCCACTCCAGTGACTGCTCTTTTCTTCTTGCAGATTTACATACACTCTGGGAGAAGGAATGTGGCTTCCTCTGAGCAAAAGCTTTGTCATCCCCCCTGCTGAGCTCGCCATCAACCCGTCAGCCAAATGCAAGACAGATATGACAGTAATGGAGGATGCAGTAGACGTAAGGTAAGAGACATTTAAGGATACCACTTTTCTTAAGTATAGCTTTGGATGGGAGACAAAAGAAGCCTCAGCTAGAGGAACAAATGTTTCATTAAACATCATTATCTCATTGCTCATTACTATTCAACAAAATTTTTGTTTACATCACTGCAGTCAAGTGTAACGACATCTTCCTCCTTTAAACAATGGTATACATTATTCTCCTTCTCTGATGTTTCATAAAGGAAATGTCAAATCCGACAGCTATCTTTTCAGGAGACTTACACTACTTGACATTCAACTTCATCTGTTGTTTTTTATTAACTATTGTTTCTGTGAGTTTTAATCATCGCACCATGGTTGATGAAGAGGTCTTAGTGGTCATATTTCAAAGAGTAATAAAAATCTGAGTTCAAAGAAAAAATCAATTATAGAGGACCAGTGTAACAATAGGCAGTAAATAAAAGAATTGGCTGGTGATTTAATTGCAAAAGCAGCATTTTGATTGTTAAATGGTTCATAACTCCAAAGACGATCTACTCTGCATGCAACAAATGCATGTGTTTAGACTGCATAGGGTAGTAACAGAGCCAAAACAAACCTCCAGTGTTAAATTGGACCCAGCTGACATTAGAAAAGCAACCGATTAAATTATTTAGTCATTGCTTTTCTTGTTATACTCAACTTGGTGCAAGAAGCCGTAATATCAGGACAAAAATGTAAGAGAAAAAAAATCATAATCCACTGCTGTAAAGTAAAGATTAAGTCAGTAACATTTTCTCTTTAAAAATATTTTTGCTCCTCTTGACTAGAGCAAATCCCCACATCATCCCTGTGCCGAGAGGTAACAGCAGGATATATGCATATTTCAAAGTTATGCTTTAAATGAACTATCAATGATCCTACACAACTCTAAGCCATAACTGTGGAGAACAGTTTAATTTGAACTTTAGGTTCTGCCTCAACTGTTCTTTTACCCCACAAGAAACTTTTCTCCTCTTCCTCCTGGTCTCCCTGGAGGAAGTCATGTCCATGTGACTAAACACGTGCTTTAAGCTCGAGCAAAAACTGGATCAGCAAGGAAAATACACTGCTCAAAAAATAAACACTCAAATAAAACATCCTAGATCTGAATTAATGAAATATTTTAGTTGATTACCTTGTTCTGTACAAAGTTCAATGTGCTGACAACAAAATTACTCAAAAAGCATGAATGGAAACCAACTTTATTAACCAATGGAAGCCTGGATTTGGAATCACACACAAAATGAAAGTGGAAATACATAAAACAGGCTGATCCAACTTTGCTGTAATGTTCTTAGAACAGGTGAAAATTAGGCTCAGTATGGTGTGTGGCCTGTATGATCTCTCCACATTGCTTGGGCATGCTCCTGATGAGGTGGTGGATGGTCTTCTAAGGCATCTGCTCCCAGACCTGGATCAAAGCATCCTCCAACTCCTGGACAATCTGTTGTGTAACATGGCATTGGTGGATGGATGGAGACATGATGTCCCATATGTGCTCAATCAGATTCAGGTATGGAGAGCGGCTGGCCTGTCCATATTTTCAGTAACTTCAATGTGCAGGAACTACTGACACACTCCAGCTACATGAAGTCTTGCATTGTCTTGCATTAGGAGGAACCCAGACCAACAGCACCAGCATATGGTCTCATTAGGGGTCTGAGGATCTCATCTTGGTAACTAGTAACAGTCATGCTACCTCTGGTGAGCACATGGAGGGCTGTGCGCCCCTCCGAAGAAATACCACCCCACACCATTACTGACCCAATGCCAAACCGGTCATGCTGAAGGATGTTGCAGGCAGCAGATCACTCTGCATGGTGTCTCAAGACTCTGTCATTTCAGTCATATGTGCTCAGCGTGAACCTACTTTCATCTGGTAAGAGCATAAGGGGGGAATTTGCCTATTTTGATTTCCTCTTGCAAATGCCTTGCACTGCACATTGTTGGTGTGCACAACCTCTATCTCTGGACTTTGGGTCCTCATACCATCCTCATGGATTTGGTTTCTAACCGTTTTTGCAGACACATGCATGTTTGTGTCCTGCTGGAGGTCATTTTGCAGGGCTTTGGCAGTGCTGCTACTGTTCCTCCTTGCACAAAAACGGAAGTAGTGGCTTTGCTGCTGGGTTGTTGCCCTGGTGTTACAAGCCTGTCTCCGGGTAGCGCCTCCCGCCTTTGGACACTACGCTGACTGACACAACAAGCCTTCTTGCCACAGCATACAGTGATGTGCCTTCGTGGGTACTGAGAAGTGGTCTGTCGTGCCTACCTGAAACCCAAAGTGCTTTGCATTATACTTAAGTCATTCATCCAGCTACTGTACACACTGGTGGTGGCTGGCTACATTGTAGCCAGAACTGTCCTGGGGCTCAATGACAATGGTGTAACTGCCGTACACAGGCACTACCTTGCATTCTGACCACAATCAGTAGGGTATTGGTTCAAATATACCAGTTTAATGAATCACATATACTGCTTTGTAATTTTATAAATGTCCAAAATACATGTCTTTCAACACTAAAGTTTTACACTACTCAACAAAAACAAAATAAATGAAAGAAAACAAAACACAGGAAATATTAGGCTCAGTATAACTGTAATGGCAGGATCTAAGCTGGATCTCTATAGCTCTGTTCGTGTTGCTGTCATGGCACTTTGGAGAAGGACACACACATCCAAACTGCTCGTAATCTCCCAATAATATATATATATATATACATATATATAACAAAATAAGAATGTCATTTTCAGCCTTTTTTGATATATTTTCTAGATTAAAATGTTTCTGCCATATTTTGCGTCCATATTTGGCTAAAGTGTGTTGATGGATTTGATGAATCAATATTCAGAGATCTACCAACAAAATGTTTGATGTCATGGAAAATGGAGACAAGTGATAAATATTGAGTTCAACAGTATACTGTAGCTGCTACTCTGAGATGACTTTGTATTGCCAAATTGTATCCCTATGAAAAGATTTTACACACTGAATATTTAGTGGTAATGATAACCCCTATAACTACTAATGGGATTATGTTCCATCTTTTTAATAGTGGTTCACAAAAATGTTATGCAGAGTCTAGTAAGAATGTGCAGATATACTGCTCAACATCATTATCTTGGGTTGTTTATTCCCCGAGTAGGACCTCATCCATTGCGTTGGTCTCCTGTTTCTTGTTACAGCTTTATTAAAACAAATCCTTCTTTATCTTAGAATTTCTGTGAAGTCTTCTGGCAGCTGGGACACACATTTTGTTCTTCAAAATTAGGACTTACGGAAAAGGCACCTTCTGAGGAAGATTGTGTGCAATGTGGTCCTTTTGAATCAGTGGTTTGCATGCAATCTTCATATTTTGGATATTAAACCCCTCTTCTTGCTGAATCGGTTAGATTTCATTAATTGCTTTTCCTCTCATATATCTAGTTTATATATATTGTTTAACCAGATTGTTTAGTGTCCATGAAAAGCCATTAGGAGAGATTTATCTTTTTATGATGTTTTAACATACATAAAGATTACCAAAATGGAAGATACTGAACAAGTTTGAAAAATGTGGTCATCATGTCTTTTGATTTGCAAATAATAATTTTGGTAAAGGTTAAGGTTATTAGTTACATATTCTAAGATCTAATGTTCTTTTTTTAAATATGATTAATATATGGAATAAAATTAATTAAGAAAGCTTATTATTTTCTCTATCTAACAATGGATTTTTCTTGCAGAAAATAAAAACAAATATTAGAAGATCTCTTTTAAAACTTATTTTTTAATGACTAAATAATAAAACTTAAATCTAAAAATGTATCTATTGTTTAAACTGAAGAAAAGACTTAAACTAAACATCTCATATTTGTTTTTGCTAACAGTCAACGCAGAGTACATTTAAAGCTCACTGATGATATGCTTTGTAAATATTACTGTATTGATCTGGATTGGTGGCATGTAATTAAAAAGAGAAATATGAAATGTACTTTTTTAATAAGGAGTTGCGTTGTAAACTGCTCCAATATATTTGAATAAATTTATGTTATTCAGTATGAACTACATTCAGACACAGTTATTTCTCTCTATACAGTCTTTGAGTCACTGAGATGTCTCATTTGGATAAACTCAGTGACTTTGTGGCAATTGTTAAAGTTCTCCAAGCACTACATAGTTACATATATGCAAGACAATGCTCATTAAACAGAGAGAATACCTATATAGGCTGGTTGATGGCCATATATCACCATTTTGATGCATACGGTGTGAATAGATGTTTCATTTGCAGAGTCCAGAGACTGACAATTAAGTCAAAGACAGCAAACTATACTCCAGACCCTTAAGTAAAAACAGAAACTAAACTAAAGAACTTTGTAGGTACAGTTTAGAAATGATATAAGGAGAGGGGGATTCAATATTATCACAGGAAAAAGGACAAAAGGTTCTGCTTGAGCACATGTAATTTGGGATAATAGTACATATTTTTATCCAGGAAGATAAAGGGAACTTTAATTAGCCTCTCAGTATGAAAAAAATATTTTTGGAATCCCAAGAAGTTTTTCAAAATTGTGGTTATTAGTTGTGTTTTAGTCATCATCCTTTGTTCTCTTACCTGTTCTGAAACGTTGGAATGTTAAACTTCTATATTGTTAACATTGTTATTGTCTGAGTAATGCTTAGTCATGATTTAGCTCACCCTCATTCTGGGAAACCTGTATGTATTCCTGATATTTTCTAATTCCAACTTTTCTTCAAACACTAGAGCATAAGATTAGCATTCAAAACCCTTTTCTCTAGCCTTCCAGGCATAAGCAGTCATTTCTAATTTTCCCAAAGAGGAGGTGATATTATGCTCATGTGAAAGAGCAGTCGCTTTAAAATGGAGTTTTATTATTTAAACAACCTTTTAAACTGTCTTTAATATTCAACATTATCAGTGGATATAAAAGTTACAGAACAGTGGCTTTTGAGGACCAGAACTGTTATACTTTGCCTCTAGAAAAAAGAGATTTTT